TGCCAACGGTCGCTAGGTCGAAGTTGTCACACATGGTTAGCCTAGTGTGGTTCACATATCTTGTATAATTTGCAAGCTATTATACGAGCGTGTAGGTTTACCAGTGCACCTATGATTGACTGCGAGTTCCTTCATTAAAAAATTTGAAGTTGAATGACAAAAGTAACCTCCAAGTATGTGGAGTGGTGGGCATATCTCAGTGTGATAATCGATGGGTGGTTTTCTTTTGTTGTGACCCACCCGACCCACATACACTTTGCCTTGCTTCTTTGTTAATCAAGATCCTAAATATGTGTGGATGTTATAAAAATGGTTTTTATTTATTTATTCATTTGAATTTTCTTTGGCTTTTATTGTGTGCTAAGATAAGAATGAAAAGATGATCTTTTTTTATTATAATTATTTGTTTAATTTATTTATTTTCAGAATAGAATAATGTTATATGTGGTTGTAGACAAAGTCTATGGATGCAATTGTTTAGAAGTTGCTTTCTTTATACACATATATGTACAAACATATGGTATTAGAGATAACTACTCCATTGAGCATCAATTTATGTGGTTAGGAATTTTTGGTTTATGCAATTAATGGTTCTAATTTGATTCATGTATTTGCAATGTTTTGAATGTGTAGATTTTACATATAAGAATAATAGATGGTAGAAAGTAAACCGTGGTTATACATTCTACATGAATAATATCAAGTGCGGATCCAGAAAATTATACGTGGGAGGTGAATTTTTTTTCGAAAATAAAACAGTCAAAGAAGGTAAAAACATAGCGAGGTTCGGGGCCTAAAATAAGTAAATATTTATAAAATTTTAATTGAAAAAGTATAAATTTTAGTAACACTATTTCATATTGTAATAAAACATAGGGAAAACATAAATTTACATAAAAAATATGAAGCAGTAAAAAATCTAGAGGACAAAAAAACACATTTTTTGTTCTTTTTTTTTTTTTTTTTTTTTTTTTTTTTACTCTATCATCTTCTTTTTCTTTATTTTGGTCTCCATTTTTAGAACTCAAAAATATTAAAAATTTCAAATCCTACCCAAAAAAAACAACTGAAACGTGTGGAAATAATATTATTTTATAAGAAACTTTCAATGATAATAATAGTGTAGTCATAATTCTTGAAGAACCTTTAATATTAAAATATTTAGAGAAAGATAGAAAATATATTTTGATTTGTAAAGTTTAGAACAACATGGAGCAATAATATAACTCAGTTTTATTGTTCGAGGTCCTTTATTAAAAGAATATTTAAAGAAATAAAAAAAGGGAAATGATAAATACAGAACTATTTTTAGTAAATGCAAGACATTTTTTTAACTTTAAGTTTTATCTCTATTTTTGGACGCATTTTAGTATTTATAGACATTTTAATATAAAAACTAATTCTCGTTCTCTACTTATCATTAACCGTCTACATGACTACATTTGGTCTCTATAAATTTCAGCCTCAAACACATCTGAAGAAATACTAAATTTAATTGTCTTTCATATTGATATTGAATATAACTAAATTTTTACCTCACTTTCAACCGTATCATATTCCAAAAATGATAAATTCATGTTCTTGGTGATCAATAGTGTGATAGTCTCCCAAATGTCGATAAAGACTTACAAAAAAAGAATTTGAAAAAAGTAAGATGATATATTAGGTTTTGAAAATTTTAAATAAAGTGTCTACGTTAACTAAAATTCTTCGTG